AAAAACAGGAAGCGAAGAACACATTGTAGTTTTATTTTTCATTCGTGTTTTAATTCTCTCATTAATTCTCTCATTTTAAACCGTTTTTAAAAACATATTCTAGGAAAACTTGAATAGCGACGTTATGTTATATTATTTTTTAATAAAATTTAAATGTCAAATAGAAAAAAATATGATCTTTATAATAAACATAATTTTTTTTACCTCTTTTTGTTTTTCTACAAAAGATTCGCAAAGTTAGGTCTCGTTTTGACTGTTTATTTAAATATGCGCTCTTAAATTTCATTATGATTTGACCGTTATTGACATAGAACTTTTGAGATTCAGGTTACAATAGTCAACAATCAAATTTTTTCCCGGAGCACTATGTTGATAAATTCTGACAACTTTTATATTTCCGACCTTGATCATTTCAATGACAAAAGCGTTTAATCTTACAATAATGAGACCTAGCTCGCGACATAATTAATTGAATAAAATCTAATTAATAAGCGATATTCGATTGTTGCTATTATCTAAAAGCACTAACTTGGAGGACAATTTTTAATTAAGATAATTGATCATGGTAAAAATTTTTTGCCATTTGGCTGTATACTTTAAAAGAATCTTAATTATTGATTGTTCGTTTATTTTATGCAAAAGCGGTCAAAGTATGTAAAGTTGTCTTGTTGAGAAGGTTATCTTTAAAAATAATTCATTACCGTTACTCACTGAGTCAAAAAAATAATTAGTTATCATTACTAGTTACTAATTCGAGTGACTCGTTATTGTAATTGTTACTTAAAAAGAAATGATCAATTATTTTATCAGTTACTTTTTTACTAAAACGAGATCAGATTAAATAAAAAGTAAATTTTCTCATATTTTTTTGTTCACAGTCAGTGTAAAAATAATAAAACTTTTTATTTTAAATTTACAAGACTAAAAAATTAAGAAGATTTTAAAATACTTAAAATGCAAAATATAAAAGTTGTAATTTTTATTAAATTCATAAAGACAATTTATACTTTTTTTTATCCTTCTCTCTTTACACATTTTTAAAAGAATTAGTTATATATTGTTGTTGTAATTGATTTATAATGAACTATTCTCAAAGCTATTCTTAAGACGAGTTTTTATGTAACAACAGATTATGAATATCGATTGAAAATTGAATACTAAATATATAGAAATTATGTCATAAATAGTGTCGTGCTCGCGGCGGACACTTGTAAAATCTCGCGGAGAGCACTCGCGAAATAAAATAAATCGCTTTTTTTTACAAAGAACTTTATTAATTAATCAAGAACTACAGAATCAAACGAACACTCCACAATATGACAGCTACTCGGCAGCTCTCTCTCTCTCTCTATCGACTCTATTACTAAACAACAACATACGTTGCCAAGAACATTGAAACATTCTGCGACACGTCGGTAGGGAACGATCCTCTCTTTGAAGTACTGATTTCCGGGGGTAACGATGAGCGAATCACTGCTTAGTCGTAACACTGCCCTCCCTTCTTTTCAAAATTGTCGTCCCGATAATTTCATGGAACTTCTCCGCTAGAAAAGTCTCCTCTTCCTCCGTGAAGACTCTAGGGCACTCTACTGCTCCTTGCTCTACTCCGAGTTGCTGCTACGGGTTACCAAGCGCCATATTTCCGATCCCAATCTTCCGCTCGGTAGAAAATAGTGAGCCACGGAAATTTATCCCTTCTTCTTTCTTAAATCTTCGATCTTTTGTGTACTTTTTTCTTGAATCTTCGGGTGGGAGGGGAGGGAGGGCAATTTTCTTCCGTGTATCCTTCGTCCTTATGGACACCTTAAATCTCTGTCTTGGCATTCGCCCTATGACTCAGCGGAAAAACCACGGTCAAAAATCGTCACAAGGCAGTCCTCTTTTAAAATAAAATTAGCCTAATAGACAAAACGAGAAGATCTTCCTCCCCACGACAACTCCTTGCTTGTACAACTCTTCTTGATGAAAACTTAAAGAAAACAAAAAAAATAGAAACAGTAATCTCTTAATAAAATAAGAACATTTTTCAATTCAACATTTCCCCTTCTTCGAATGGAAAAAACAATCAATTCCTCTACAAGTTTTGATAAAAACCACAACCTAATTAAGATCGCCTTCCCGAAACGGAATTTACTCATCTAAACGAAACCCATCTAAACAGATACGACTTGCCGGACACTCAGAAGATACTTCGAAGAATATTAAACATCCTAAATTACTCGATTACGCTCCTAAAATGGAGACATCGAAGCCCGTGTCGAACTCGAAAAACATATGTACGTCCGTCCGACAAATCAATCCGTGTTAAAAAGAAGTTATCGAAAAATAATTTTCTTTAAACCAAAACCATGCAAATGCGAATTAAAAGAAAAATAAAATTTGTTTTATAAAAGTAAAAAGAAATTAATTAACGACTAGTCTGGCATTTGACTAATATCCAGTCACCACTTGGCCCGTTTCTCTGCCGATAATCTTCCATTCATAGCCGATCCACAGTTTCTCTTTCCTGCGGGAATCGCTCGTTGCTTCATCGTGCCGTTTGTTCCTGCCAACGCTCGACGCTCCGCCATATTAACAACGATTTGACCAATCGATCCTGGATGAGCTCCCAAAATGTCGCGCTCGCGGTGAGTATTCGCAAAATTTCACGGCTCACAAAATAAAACAAATCGCTTTTTTTCTAAAGAACGAATTTTATTAATTAATCAAGAACTACAGAATCAAACAAACACTCCAACATGACAGCTGCTCAGCAGTTCTCTATCAACTTCACTAAACAACATACGTCAAGAACATTGAAACATTCCACAACATGTCGGTAGAGAACGATCCTCTCTTTGAAGTATTGATTTTGGGGGGCAACGATGAGCGGATCACCGTAATTTGTCGTAACAATAAATTCAAAATATAAAAAGGGGGGCAACGACGAGCGGATCACCGTAATTTGTCGTAACAATAAATTCAAAATATAAAAAGTAAGAGTGAAGGTAACTGTTAAATTCATTATCGCTGTAAAAAATGTAACTACGTTGTTGTTGTACTAAAAAAACAATCATGTTATTATTCCAAAAAAAGTAACTGTAATGACGTTACTTCCCAACCCTAGTAACCTAATATGTTGAAAATTATCTTAGTTTGTATAGAAAACATTTTGTGCAGAAGAACAATATTTTATTATTGCCATATTTGTCAATGAATCGACTTAAATCCTATCGACTTAAATCCGAACATAATGGACTGTCGGAGAAATTGTCAAAGACAGTTGACAATTGTGACAGATTTAGATGATCTCAATGATATCAAAAAGTGTATTATTATAAAATCCAAATTTCATAAGATAATATGACAAAAAATATTTCTTACTACAATAATAATGAAAAAGAATATTCCATATGTACGCGCATACACATTATATACACGCGTGCACGCGCGCACACACACGCATACATATTCCATATACATGTGCAAAAACAAAAAGTCACTTCAGATTGCAATACCTTAAATAAAACAATTAAATAACAAACATAGAACAGGTAAATAACAGACATAGAACAAAATCTTTTTCATTTAAAAAAATAAACATAAATGATATCAATAATTATGTTCGTTGGTTTTTTGTCTCTCCATAGTATACCGCAAATATCAAGATTTTGAATATGCTTATTCAGAGTTGTTACATCACTACGAATATTTAGTTAAATAAAAATTGACAAAAAATGAGTTTTATACTATTAGGCTTTATTCTTTAAAATCCATTTTTCATTTTCTCTCTATGTTAATTATTTGTTAAATAGTTACTGCTTAAAACATGCAAAAATTGAATAAGAAAAAGTAATCTCTTGACTTTTTTTAGTACTATATCGTATATGCAAGAAACAAGATTGGGAAAATAATTTTTTAAAAGTAATTTATTACCGAGTCAAAAAAATAAGTAATTACCATTAGTAGTTATTAATTCTAAGTAACTCGTTATTTAAAAAAGGATGAATAATTACTTTTTTTTTAACACTAAAACAAGATCAGATAAAGTAAAAAACATATTTTTCTCATATTTTTGTTAAACTATCAGTGAAAAATAATTCTTAAAATAAAATAATAATAAAACTCTTTATGTTAAATTTGCAAGACTAAAAAATTTAAGAAGATTTTAAATTACTCAAAATGCAAATACAAAAGATGTAATTTTCATTAAATTCATAAAGATAACAATTTGTACTCTTTTTTATTCTCAATTCTCTGTTTACAAATTTTTAAAAGAGTTAGTTATATACTGTTTTTATAATTGGTTTATGATGAACTATTCTCGAAATTATTCTTAAGACGAGTTTTAAATGTAATAACAAATTATGAATATTGATTGAAAAATGAACATTGAATACATAGAAATTATGTCATAGATTCAAAATATAAAAAGTAACGAAAATAATTGTTAAATTCATTACTGTTACTTTAAAGAAAGAAAAAACCAAAAAAGCCATTGTAACGGTAACGTCATTACAAGTAACGTATTACTTCCCAACTCTGACAAGACATTTCATATTTTGATTATGATGAGCTAGCAAAAGTATTAAATTGCTTATAATTAAAAAATTATTTTCACAGAAATTTTTTGATGTTATAGTTTTTTTGCAATTATTAGATATTAATTTTATCAAACATTTACATTGTTGTACAATTTAAAATAATAAGTTATTTTATGTAAAAGTTTTAAAGTAATTTCATAAAGAAATTATTATTATTTCATTAAACTATTATTTCATTAAAAAATATATAAACTCTTATCTATTTTTGCTAATTTCAACTTTTAATTAATATTTTTATAAAAGATATAAAAGATCAATATTTACATAACATTTATTCTAGAGATTTTTCAAAAAATATATATTTATATGTAACTATTAATTTCATTCATAAAAATTTGATAAATATAATCCTATCAAACATTTGCAAAATTATTTATACTCTCTGCATGATGATGGGATGATAAATGATATGATTACCTGCGACCGTAATGCGTCTTCTACGCGACTTACGATTCCTATTGGAAGGTAAGACCCTGATATCAGGTCTCTCCTTGGCAACCCTTTGCCGTGGCTGTGGCACCGGTGGTACATTCTGCCTCCTACGATTCGCTACCGCCAGAATGCTGCCATCAGATACCAATGTCTTTTGATCCTCCGATTGCAACCATTGAGCCGCAACATCCTGTGCAGACTCTTGCTCTTGCTCTGGCTGCGACGGTGGTACCTCTCCAAGGACTATCATGCGAGATTCGCCGCTTATGTCGCCTAAAAAAAGAAGCCAAGACTATAAAAATAATACAAGATTCAGTTTTAATGCTTAAAATACATATGTAAAATAGTATAAATTCTTAAAATATATATGTAAATTAATATAAATTAAATTAATATAAAATTGTCACTCTAGAAGACTTTAAAAAAATAAAGCTGAGTGTGCATGTCTTATCTTGAAAAAGTCTTAAAAAAGTTAAAGATAAACACACATTATTTAAATTTATAAATAAAAAAATTATAAAATATAAATGTAAATATTTTAATTTTCTGCAAAAAAAGAGATAAAAATTAAATTATATCAATTATAATTCTGATATTAAAACAACTGCACATATTTATCATATAAATATGTAATTGTCAATTTATCATACAAATGTATTTTAATGAGCTTATTTGAATACAATCGAAATATATCTATATGATATTTACAGAAATATTTCTGTAAAAAAATTCTTGTAAGTAGAAAAAAATCAGATATATTTCTGATAGAATGAAAAAATATGTAAACAAATAAATAAAAAATAAAAAAATAACAATGCAAAAAAAATTTAAATGTAATAAAAAAATATTTATTTAGTGTAACTTGGCGTTGTCAAATACCAAATACGAATGAGAAATAAATAAATATTTATGATAAATATATATATATATATATATATAGATATTTATGATGTAAAAAAGCAGTTTATAATAAAGCAGGTTTGTAATAAAGTTGTGTTAGAAAATTAATTGATTCAAGATTTTTAAATCCAGAAGTTTACAAGATAAGAAAATATATTAATATTAAAATTTAAAATTTTTTAAATTAGTTTAAATAAAAATAAAATATAACATTTTTATTAGAAAATAAACTTCATTGTTTTTATTTATATTCTAAACTAGAAATATTATTTTAATTATTTTATTATATTTTAAAATCTAGTCAAATCAATGTTTTTTTGTATTAAATATTTTATTTCAATTAAATTTGTTTTCCATTCCTTTACATATTCTTTTATTCCATCAAAAATATATCTGATTTTGTTTGTTTAAAAGAATTCTTTATGGAAATATTATTATTGAAATTTATGTAGATATCACATTTATAATTATACAAATTCATTAAAATGTGATATATAATAGATATTATATAACAAATAAATATTGTAAACATTGTTAATAAAAATTGGAAATCATAATTGGCACAATTTTTCATATCATTATTTTTTTACAGAAAATAGACATTTACATTGTACAAGTCTTTTTCATTTATAAATTTAAATAATATATTAATTTTACTTTTAATATCAGGAATATATTCAATATTCATATTTAAGAGAATTTATATAACAAATAAATATTGTAAACATTAATTAATAAAAATTGGGAGAAATTCTTTATAGAAACATTTTTGTTAAAATATCATATAGATACCACAATTCAACTAAGTTCATTAAAACATTACATGTTTATATGATAAAAATAAAATATATAGTATAATATATTTGTTTTAATATCGGAATTATAATTAACACAATTTTCCATATCTTATTATTTTTCTCGTAAGAAATTAAGTTAACTTAAGTAAGTTATCTAGAAAAACTAGAGAAATCATATTGAATAATAAAAAATGTTTGATTCTATATAAAATATGGAGATTAAAAAATCTCAACAGTGTTTCTCTAGAATATTTTATTTTTATCGAATCAAATTTTAACGATAGCATTCTTGAAAAATATGAAATTAATTTTTGTTCGCCAAAAATTAAATAATTTAAAAAAATATAAATTCAATTTTATATCTTAACATTATAAATTACGGAAATTGAAGATAAAATAAAAATTTTAATTATACAATTTTTCATTTTTCACAAATTTCTGAATTCAAATTTCACTCTCGAAACATTACAACATTTATTTGAAACATTTCTTTGTAAAATGACTTTCTTTTACATTATTTAACCGTTAAGATTAACATGAATTAACATGAATCATTCTATATATATATATATATATATATATATATCATGTCAAAGATTCATATTTAAACTTTTTTTATCAATAAAAAAGAATTCAAAATATGAACAAAAAATCTACTAAAATATAGTTAAACATCTCGTAAAAACTGTTGTTTTTTTTTTGAAAAATTTAACTTCATACTTTTATATGTATACTTGCTAGAGGATAATAATATATAAAAGAAATTATATAATTCTATTTAAAAAATGACATAAAAAAAAAGTATCGTGATATCATTGCAAATAAATCAATATCTTAACCTGTGAATCCTCGAAACCCTATAACTTTTATTAATATTAATATTTTTTCTCGTCAATAGTTTTAGAGATATTATGAGAATAGATAGATTTCATAATACATAAAGTAAATCAAAGGAAAACAGACTACCTCTAAATATCTGCAAAATTATTATGAAGAGAAAATATGTTTTAAACAAAGTTGTAGAGTTAGAATTAAGGAAATCACTGACTTATGATATTGAGTCATTTGTAGATGGCTCTCAATATCTTTTTCATATTATTTTTTTAAAGGAAATTATATAATTTTTTTACACATTATTTCCGTAGTTATTCTGAATATAAAAATATGAAACTAAAGTTATAAAAAAATTAATAGTTTACGAGATATCTTGTATTTTATTCTAACATATTTTGACATGATATATATTTTGTACATATTTCATGAAATTATTCATCTATTAATAATTGTATACATGATACATATGACTGTTATACATATAATAATATTTACATTATAAAGAAGACATTACATTTAAATTACAAAAAAGAATCAGAAATATTTCTATTGATTCTTATATGTTTTTGAATGTTTAAATCTGTTTTTGCACACATCGAGAGAATTAATTATTAATAGCACAATTTTTGACTATATAAAATAGCTTATATGTGAAAAGAAAATATTGTAAAAACACTTGCTTTTTCTTGAGAAAAGTAAAACAAATCATTTCTTATAGTTTGTAAGATGAGTGATCCGAGTCTAATTAAAATTATGTTACATGGAATTTAAAGAATTACATTTAAATTAAGAAAATGCATGCAGTTATTTGCAGATTGCTAAATTATATGCATTGATGAGATATATAGTGTAATACATCATTCTATAAGAATATTATATCAAATAGTAAAAATATCAGACGTAACGGAAAGTTTTTATACGTTGCCCACTCAACTGACTCAAATATGTTCATGTAAATACAAAAATATTGCTTTGTATCCAATATTTTTGCTATCAAAGATCATCGAATATCATTTTAAATAAATAAAATATTCTATATTCTTTAGGTTAAAACATAGTGTATCATATATTGTGTACATATACCGTTGATATATGTGTTTGTCTCACAAATGATTATAATGTCATGTTTTTTAATTTAAACTCAATTTTTATATATTCATTGTATGACATAATTTTAAGCAGGAGCATCAGGTTTCTCAGCACAAAAGCTATAAAATATGTTTATTTTACTTTTTTCAAATACAGTAAAAACAACATAAGCTTTTTTGTAATTCTTTTTTGATTTTATCAGTCTTGTAAACTATCTTGTAGACGACGTAAAGTTAAATCATTTTAAATTTTGCAGAATTATGAACAAAAATAATTAGTACAAAATTTTTACAAACAATATAAAAATAGAGAACACATACTTTTCTTTAAATCATATGTAACAAACTTTTATATATTTGTTTTTTTTGCTTTTTTAGTTTTTTATAATTACTACATATATATTTTGTGAATAACAATTGTTCACACTTTCCACATCACAATCATTTTTATAAACTTGAACGTCCTTTGCGAAATTAGTCACACGGAGAGACACATACATTGAAAACATCGATCAACTTATCCTATGAATTTTTGAATCTTGATAGATAATAATTAACATTATCTGTCGAGAACGATATAATAATACTAACAATTGCCACTAAAAATTTGCAAAAATCGATTGATATCCGACTAGACTGACATGCCGCGATGACGTTTCGGGCAATGTTAGTTCACCTTTGCACGCTTCCAGTTATTGATCGTCTACTCGCGTTCAGTTACCCCCTCCCTCTACCTCTGTCGCCCTTCCTCCACTCTTTCTCTTTCTTTATTCTGTTCTATTAGGGGTGCGTTCCACTTAATGATCGCAACGCTCGCAATGTCCGCAAACCTGTTCCACATAACGACTGAGATCGCAATCAGAACGTCATAGATGACGTCATTAATCACGATTGAGCCTACGACGCTCATGGTTCGTAGGTGGGTCAGTGCGGTCCTTTCGTCGTTTTCGCGCCATTTTAATCAGGAAACGGTAATGTCTCGGGTGTCAAGTCAACCGAGAACACCGTATGACTTTATGCAAGTCGGCGAGATGCGAGCATTCGAAATTATCGAATCTTAATAACGGTTAAATTGATCAAGTTCTAAATAGGCTTGATCGATAGCTTGAGTTCGACTTGCATAATAAAAATATTTTTATTTTCCTGCTACGTGCTCTACGAGCGGAGATATTGCTACGCAAAGTCCGTTGAAAATTTTTACTTTAAGAAACGTCGTCATTATTATCGTCTTTGTACCGCTGCAATGTCTGTCGCGAGATGTCACTATTATATATCTTATCGACTTAGCGGATCATAGGATCTACTAACGAATAGCGAATCAATATTCGCACAATCCTACAATGACCATAACTTAACTTGGCCTGATTTATCCGCAGGGTCGATATATAATTTTACGGTCATTCCGCAGTCTCTGCATATTTTCTCTCTTTCCGTAACCTCTCCGGATATTTTCGCATTCGTTCCGCAACTTTCCCGCATATTTCCGCAATCATTCCGCGATAATTCTGCAACACTTTTACAATTTTTTCAAATATGTTTGCATCTCTTTTGCAACTTTTCCGCACCACTTCCGCATCCATTCTGCAACTTTTCCACAATCTTTTCACATATTCTGGCACCTCTTTCGCAACTTTTCCTTTAAAATTTATTTGCC